AAGCAATCGGCCCTTCTCTACATCCTCCTGCCTGGACTGTGCATTCACTACCTCAGTTCACACCACACCAGCCTTCCCTTCTCTCTCTCTCCTTGTGTGAGGCTTTTACTTCCTACTTCCCTTAAAGACAAATGCACTTAGAAGCGGATTACACTTCCCCAGTATCACACCTGGTCTCACCTTGCAGAGGTTTTGAAAGGCAAACCACCCTCTCTAGCAGTGATTCTCAACCTTCCTCATGCTGTGACCCCTTAATACAGTTCTTCATGCTGTGGTGACCCCCAACCATAAAATTATTTTCATCCCTATGTTATAACAGTCATTTTGTTACAACTATGATTCGTAATATAAATATCTGTGTTTTCCAATGGTCTTAGGTGACCCCTGTGGTGTTACCTTGCTTGTATAAATAAAGCTTGTCCGAAGATCAGAGGATGGAGCTTGCCACTAGCTAACTATAGAGGTCTGGAGGTTTGTACAGACAGACAGGAAGTGAGATGGCTAGGCAGAAAGATGGTAAAAGTGGGAAGAAACAGAAACGCACTCTTTTTTCCATTGGGAAGTTAAGAAGGTAAAAGTGACTTTGGCTTGCTCCTTCTCTCTGGTCTCTCAGCATTTTCCTCTGTATCTGATTCTGGGTTTTGATTATTTAGATCAATTAAGAACTCCATTTACAGAACCCAGTGAAAGGGTCAATCGATCTTCCAAAGGGTCATGACCTAAAGGTTGAGAATTCCTGCTCTAGGGGTACTTTCCCAGTCCCCGGTGGCCTTGAAAGACATTCTTTTACAATTACAATCTAAAGTTCTAGCATTTTCCTTTTCTAGTAGAAAATGCAACTGCTGCTCTGATCATCATACGCTTTCAAAGCAGAGTCAGTCAGTTGCCTACAAAAGAGTGATGTATCTTTTCTTTCTCAAACGGAACCAACCCCAGATCAAACACACTCCTGGTAGAGAGGTAGCCACATCTAAGGTATAAGCATGGGTGAGCAGAATTCTGGGATATCTTGTTAAGTGGACAACGCAGTTCTTCTCACCCGACACTTGGAAAACAGACATGAGATTACCATGCCCATTTGTCCAACATACAATTTTTCCAGCGTAATTCTCTGCTGCTCCCCAGCAGCATTAAACACAGAAGAGGCCTCAACATTCTTTAAAAAAAAAAAAAACAAAAAAAACCTCTTGTTTTGATTTCTCGTAAGCTACCTCATCTCTGTTTTGTCCCTAGTTCTCTGGTCACTCAGATTCTCCATGCTGCTTTCTTCCCAACATCTACGGTTCTTAACACCCCAGTCTTTTTCTCCAAATCCTTTTGGGCTTAATCCAGAGCTAAGGTTTTAAATATCATTCAGATCCCATATTCTAAACTCCAAATTGTGGTAGGGTTCCAAATTCATACATCTCAACTGTCTGATATCTCCATTTAGAGATCCAAAAGACATTTCAAACTTTACTTTTCCATGGGCGAAGTGATCCAATAGTAGCCTACTGCCCTAAGACTGTATTAAAAACAAAAACAATTTACTAGAAGGAAGCACAATCCTCCTCAACTAGTCCTGGATGGTAGTCTTTCTCATCTCGTTTACACTTGTCACCACCCTACTTCTGTCCTCTGTGCAAAAAGTATGATTCCTCTCCTTGCCTCTCAGGCCCACTCATAGGCACCTCCAAGTCTCCCTGGCTCTGTGTCTAGATACACTCTTTCTTCATGGCTCTCCATCCTCATTGGTGCAACCCTGGCACATGACAAAAATCTCTCTCAATAGACCTCCACAAAGACCAAAATTTGTCCCCCATGTCTCCTTACATCTGTGCTCTAAACGGTAACCCTGGTGGTCCTTTCTAAGTGCAGATTGGATTGTATTTCTTCTCCTCACAAGCTTTGAGTGATTTCCACTGCCTTGTATTGTGAAGCCCAAACTCTCCACAGAGCAGACAAAGGCCTAGGTAACTCACCCAGCCTCCTCTGATTTGCCCTCCGGCAACTCTAGCCTCAAGTCCTGTGCTTTGGACATAGAGGTTTGTTATTTTCCCCTATGCTATGAGCAACTCAAGCCCTTAACTGCTTTGGGATGTTCATTGCTGGTGATCTCCTTCATGCAACTTGCTCCTGTAGCTCTCTCTGCCAGGCCTTCCTCCTACATCCAAGGTGCATGGAAGCAACAAAGCACCCCAGCTGCCTGCTCATCCATCACTTTCACTGTATTTTCCTCATGGGAGACTGTTGCTTATTAACTTTTATACTGCATGATGCTTCCAACTTCACTGTACACTATGAAGACAGAACCTTATAGATTTGTTTACAGCTATATTTACATAATCTGAAACAGTGTCTAATGTGTAATAGATACTCCAAGAACTATTGCTGAATGTGCCAAACAGAATATCACAATTAAAAGTCACTTAGTTTGAAACATCATTTCAATATTTAAATTTCTGAATAAGTGGCTTGGGAATTATCTGACTACTCTTTCTAGTCTCTTAGTAACAACATTCACTCTTGAGAGGCAAAGCCATCTTTTAGCAATTTGGATTATTCAAAAGCCCTTCATGCTTCTCATCTTGGGGTCTAATTCCCAGTAGCTGTGAGCTTGTATAGCTTATACAGTACATGTGGCTTCAGTTTCATGCTTGACAGATGGTATCTTACATATCTGAAGAGAGCGATTGGATCTTTTCTTGATTTAATGATTTCAGTCTTCATTAAAAAATTATTTTAATTATTGAATTGAATCTAGGGCCATGCACATGCTAGCTAAGACATCTATCATGGAACTATATCCATAGACTTATTTTTACTTTTTTATTTTGAGACAGGGGTCTCAATAAGTTGCACAGGCTGGCCTTGAACTTTCTCTGTAGCTCAAGCAAGCCTTGAACTTGTAATCTTCTTGCTGCAGACTCCTGAGTATGTGGAATTATATAGCCCTGCACCGTGAGGTTCAGTTTGGCCCATCTTATGAGTTCTGAACAGTTGGGGAAGCCTTCAGCACAATTCAAGATTGCTAGAGATTATAATTAGGTTGTACATTTAGCTGTTCATCCACACTCTAGTAGTCAACCCTGGCTCCGATTATGTCTCATCTGGATGAAACAACTGATCTCTTTCTCAGCAAGCATGGTCTGATTTAAACTAGCCCTTTCCTCCTTCTAGTCTAAGCTTCCACAGTCTCCAGCTCAGGTACCCCCTGTACTATCTAGTGCTTACCATTTCTCAGAGTGGCACAGTCACTCCTCAGCCTCTTGAATTCCTGGCACCATTTGATAAACATGAGCCAAGAGGACCCATTCTATTTTGACACCCTTTCTTGCAAAAGGTCTGGATTTTCCATACGTGTAAACTGAACTATCAACCCCCTTAAACTTCACATAGATGATTATATTCACCTAAAGCCAATCAGTGTTTTATGCAAGCAGCAGAGAAGCCATGGAGTGATCAGAGATATCTGAAACCAGAAGAGCAAGAAGCTGCAACAGTCCTGAGGGAGCACTCTTAACTGCCTGTCATGAATAGCCTGATGTGCAATGCTACTCCTTCCGGCTATCCTGACAGTAGCCAAAGAAAACACAAATTACTCTAAATCAAAGTAGGCATCAGTACCTTCTAGAGCCATCTGTATGTAACTGTATTCCCTTGACCTCCAAAGTACATGGGCATCTCATTTAAATCACTTGTGAGCACAGTATTGAGGGGTTAGTGATTAAATTAAAAAAAAAAATGCTAAGATCATTTGAAAACATTCTGCATTTTAGTAGGGTGTTAGGATGTTAACAATATTGAAGAATAAAAATATATTAACATGAAGTAAAGGAGTTCTGGTGTCATATGTGGTGATGTACACCTTTAATCCCAGCACTCTAGAGGCAAAAACAGGTGACTCTCTGTGAGTTCGAGGCCAGCCTGGTTTGCATAGCAAGTTCTGAGTCAGATAAATGTAGTGAGACACTGTCTGAAAAAGAAAAAAAAAAAAAAAGAGTTCTGGCAATGCCCCAAAGCACTGAGAGGACGATGCCTAGAATAGTCCGGTGTATGATTAGCTGTGATTCAGGAACTAGACTGGAAACGAAGCCTGTATGCCTATGAATATGCATATGCACACACATGGACAGGTGCTGATGGGTAAATTGGATCTGTTTCTGTTGGCCTGCTGTCTCTGTAGCAAGGGAAGTCCATGAGGGAATCTACACCATCTTCCACAATTTCTCTCCACAGATTAATATCCCCTCCTGCCATGGTTGGAATGTCGTGTTAAGGCCTGATCCCCAGTGGTAGTGTGGGGCGGTGGACAGAATTCGTATATTTCTCGGTCTCTCTGAGATGGATTGGTCTTCATGACAGTGGTGGTCATATGGTCAGTGTGGCTACCGCACCTCACTCTCCTGCTTCCCTTCCTACCATGGGGCATCTTGTGGCGGACAGATCCTCAGATCCTCACCAGAAGTCAAGAAGACGCTGGGGCTGTGTTCTTTGTCCTCCGAAACTGTGACTAAATAACATATTCCTTTATAGCCTGTCCTGTATTTTGTTACAGCAACACAAAAAGAAACTAAAGCACCTGCTTACTTCTGTCCTTCCTCTTTTCATTTTATACCACGTGTTTGCAGGTTTAAATTAGCCTTAGCCCTATCTGCTCAGATTTTATTCCTAATAAGCATAAATCTTTTGACCTCTTACTAGTACTCATTAGAGCTTAACCTATGAGACTAAGCCAGCAGATTGCAACTTCAAGAACCAGGTGGTCTCAGAGTAAATACAAACACCAACCTGCAAATCTTTATTTTATTAGTGAAACAATGCAACCTGGGCCTGGCACTCTGTTCTTGTATTAAATTATCTCCACACTTACTCTGAAGAGCTCTAGGCTCTTCAAATGTGTTCTTAGAAGAATGCACCTTCCTCCCTCCTCCCTGAATTGCTAGAGTTTTATCACGTTTGCTTCCAAGTTCAGTTAAGAAGTGAGAACAACAGTGGAGTTAATTTGAAACTGGACTCACAGCATTGTGTGATCTTTTGGATGTTAGAAGAGATGCGCTGTGCCAGCTGGGCAGGGTCCCCACCGATCCCTGGAGTGTAAGACATGGCTGGTTGGCTGACTGGCTGATCTCATCAGATGCAAGGAGGCTGTATGGTTTTCTAGGAGTCACCTAAAAAAATATAAAAGTTGTACCATTATATTTTTGAAATCATTGCTGTACATTTCCCAAATAACCCACCTGGGAGATTAGAGGGTTGAAAAAAGAAAATTATTAATTTTTTTCTAGAAAGCATTTATCAAGCACAAACATGTAAGTTGTATAATTAGGTATGATTAATATGGAGAACAAAGGCTTAGACATGAAGACTAATTGGATGGATCCAGAACATGTGGAAAACACAAATGATACATATCCAAGGAAGGGGAAGCTCCTAGCCAGCCCTGGACCAAATGGCTGGCGTCAGTGGGAGGCAACCCAGAAAGGGAAGGAGAGCGAAGACCTAACAGTTACTATGTATCTGTGAAATGAAAATAGTTCACACCAGCTGTCCAACTTAACTCCACAACCTCCCCTTCAGTTTTTGCCATTTTTTTATTTGATTTTACATTCCAACTACAGTTCTCCCTCTCACACGTCCTCCTACAACCCCCCTTCCTCCCTACCCCTCCCACACGCTCCTCACCTCCCCACCCCCAGCCCTACTTACAGGGAATGGCTCCCATGAGGAGTCAGCATAGTCTGGAACAATAGGTTGGGGCAGGACCAGGCTCCTCTCCCATGTATTAAGGCTGAGCATGGCATCCCACCATAGGGCATGGGCTACAACAAGCTAGCTCACGTACTGGGATTATATCATGTTCCTACTGCCACTGAGCATGGGATCCCACCGTAAGGAATGGGCTCCAACAAGCTAGCTCAATACCAGGTTTGTATCATGGTCCTACTGCCAGAGGCCCATCAGCTAGTCCAAGATTCATAACTTGGGCCTAATTCAGTCCCCTGGAGTCTCCACAGTTATAGGTGTAGACTCCATGAGTTTCCATGAGCTTGGTTCAGCTGTCTCTGTAGATTTTTCCATCATGATCTTGACCTCCCTTGCTCATATATTCCCTCCTCCCTCTCTTTGCCTGGACTCCTGGAGCTCAGACTGGTACTTGGTTGTGAACCTGTACATCTGGTTCCATCAATTACAAGCTGAAGGTTCTATGGTGACAGTTAGGGTAGTCACCAATCTGATTACAAGGGTAGGCCATTTGGGGCATCCTCTCCACTGCTGCTAGGAATCTTTGCTGGGCTCCTCCTTGTGGGTTGTTGTGAGTTATCTTAGCACCAGGTTTCTCCCTAAGTCTATAGTGACTCTCTTTATTATGATATCTCTTTCATTGCTCTTCCACTGCATCCGTCCCCACCTTGGCCATCTTATTCCCTCCTGTTCTCATCGCCCTTACCAGCACCCACCCCCAGTTTACCCTGTAGATCTCATCTAATTTCCCTTCCCAGGGCAATCCATGTTCTCTTCTATGCAGCTGTGGATTGTAGTCTGGTTATCCTTTGCTTTACATCTAATATCTACTTATGAGTGAATCCATACTGTGTTTGTCTTTCTGAGTCCACAACCTCCCCTTTAAAGTCCTCTGTAACTGTTCTTTGTTACAAACTGTGGCTTATAAGGATTAAGTAACTGGTCCATAGTAACAAAACCACCCATTAATGAAGGTGACATTGAAGCCTATGTTTGCTAACATAGAGAATAATTATCTCAGAAGAATAAGTCTTGGCTTCCAGGTTTATTTTGACCATAATCCAGTGCAAAACCACTGGGTTTTCCCACAGATGAGAGTAAAAGGATACTAAAATACTCAAGTTTCTTAGGCTTTGTACATAGTTGTATTATTTAGGGAATAAATTTTAAAAAAGAAACCTGTATGTATGTTCTATACTGCTGTAACTAAATGACATTTTTGATGCATGGTAGGATGAATCTACAAGCAGGGAACATGATGGTAAAGAAGGCACAAAAGACTGTGCTGGGAGGAAACATAACAGCTGTGCTGGCTCTGTGCACTGTGGAATGTGCCTGTCATCAGTCTTAGGAGCTTTAGTATATTTTCCTCTCTCCTTCTTTGTTCCATGCAAAACAGGTCCTAAATAAAGACTCAAAACCAATTTCATTAAAAGCAAACTGGAACCTTAACCAACAGCTGACCCACAACAACAGGATAGCAGGAATAAATTCCCTTCTGGAAAGTACTGAACTAGGACTACACCGTGTAAAGAGCTGGGAAGCTGGCTGTACCTGGCTATACCTGAAAAGGTAGGTGTGATGTACGCTTGTAGCCCCAGCACTGGAGTCACTAAATCATGAGGACCCAGAGTTCAGAATCAGCTTAGGCCAGGAAGTCAATTACTCTAACACCATTTTAAGTGTTCTGTGAACCAATAAATCAATTAGAGCTCTCCTTTTCATATCTTTAAATTTTGGAACGTGTGTGTGTGTGTGTGTGTGTGTGTGTGTGTGTGTGTGTGTGTGTGTGTATTTTGTGTATGTATCTATGTATGTATGCTACTGTGTGTGGAGATCAAAAAACAACTTTCAAGAGTTGGTTCTCTCCCTCACCATGTAAGTCCTGGGATCAAACTCAAACTTGGCAAAAGGTCCTTACCTGCTGAGCCAGCTTGCTAGCCCCATTCTTTAAAAAGTAAGATCTGTGTTAAGATATAATCTATATACCATACAATCCAGCCATTTAAGTTACATAATCCAATGGTTTTTAATGTAAACAGTGCCATGTGGCAATCACCACATAACTTTTAAATGCATATTACTCTGAGAAGCAAGTCCCTACCCATCATTTTTCATCTCCTGTTTGTCCTCAACAATTAATCCACTGTATGCTTCACACAAAGGGAATCATACAATATATGTTCTTTGTGAGTGATTTGTTTCTCTTCCTTGTGTTTTCAAGGACCATCTCCCTGTAGCATCTATCAGAGTATCTCAATCCTTTTAAGTGACAAATAATATTGTAATGCATGGACAAAGGCCATTTTCTCTTGGCTCAGTGGCATCTTTCTCTATCAGTCAGGTTTCCAAAACACCTGTGCTTTACAGCTACCACCAACACACTGTGAATGGCTCCTCCTTTAACAACAGGCACAAGTTAAGTCTCACATCTGTATCTACAAATCACAACCTTAACACACTATCTCTAGTGTCTATTTGTCTTTAAAGTTACTAGAACTCACTAACTGCCTGTTTGGATGCCACTATAACCAGCAACCAGAAATCTCTACCTTGGGCAAGACACTTAGCATCTGGGCCTCCAGCCAGGATCAAAACAAGATAATGCACATCCAGGCACAAAATGCTTTTCCACTATACACAGAGGACAGCTCTGATATGGTCCTGCACCTGCAGGGCCCTCATTAGAGACACACAGCCACACAATACCCTAAAGCCTAATTTCTCCCTGCCCAAAGAGACTACTATCAGACTTCTGCTAAATAATGCAAGGATTTTAGCTGTCTCTTAACTCTCAAAATCCATGTATATACACTAGTCCAAACCTCAGGGTTTTCTTTTTTATTTCTGAAAAGTTAAGGCAGGCAGGCAGTCCGTCAGGCAGTCACAATCGCAGCTGCTGCTCTCATCGTTGAACTCAAGCAAGCTAATTGGAGAATGCCCATGCTGGAGACACAAGTGGGCTTCATTCATTCTAAGAGCTACACTCTTGGCATGTTCAGCATTTTTCAGAGGAAGGGTATGGAGGTGACCACCTCAGTGCAGTCTTGAGTGATGAAGGAACAGCAGTCTAAGAAAGAGATGGGCATTTTCTACATATGGTACTTTTTATGATCACCTTTCATCTTCTCAGAACCCTATGCAGCTGGGCTAATTGCCATTGTATATTTTCACAAAGACCCTGAGGCATCACTGAGAACAAGTGACTTGTTCATGATAAGCGAAAGACTGTAAATCTGAAAGTAAACCCAGAAGCTCACATTTTCTCAAACACTAGACTAAATCCTAATGCTTTCCGTATAACTGTATAACAACTTAGGACAGGTGGACCAATTCAACCACATGGCCAAACTCATCACCTTTCTGCAGGCCCACAGGTAATTTTTCTATCCTCACTCCTTCAACAAAGAGTGTAAGTGGATGGAGGTGATACCACTGGACACACACTCCCTTTCTGTACTGCTCAGCGAGTGAATGATGACATTCAAAAGACATGAGTTGGCTCTCCTGATCAAATACAAATAAGTGGGACAATGGCTATCTTTGCTATAAAAAAATAACATACAAGTACATAGTTATTGATAAATGACTTAAAAGTTTATGAGTTTTATACGCAAGCTAATTAATTCTATGTTTATAAAATGTTTACGCTCTATAACCATCCCCAGTACCTAGCAAGACACTAATGTATTCTTGTTGCAAATCCATTTGGAATTCCTAGTGCCTTTGCAAAAAAAAAATAATTATATAACTCATCACCTGTGCTGCCTATAGAGTAGCTACTATTGACATGGACTATTAAAGTGAATTAAGTTAAATGGAAGCCACCCAAGCCACCTTTCAAGTACTCAGAAATTATAAGTGGCCAGTGGCCAGCAGCTTGGAAAGCTCATATATCCATTTCTATCACCACAGAAAGTTCTGTTGGACAGTGTTCAACTCAACATCTTAGTAATTCTCTTTTTATGATGATATATAAACACTAAAGGTGAACGAGGCGGAGGGAGATCAAAGCCCACAATGAGAGCTGCCTTAAGACTGCCTAAAGAACAAAAAAGAAGTGAATAGAGAAATGCTTGCTACACAGTGCTGAATGTGAAATACTGCCCTGGAGAAACTGTGAGACGTAATGTTGAACCCTTAAGACTTCCACTAAGCATAAACTGGTTTAAAACTCAGCCTGCTCGAAACAAATGGTCAGTTTCACTTTCTTAATCACACACACCATCGTAACACACTGGACTTCCTTCTTTTTTTGTTCCCCAGGGTTTTTATTTGTGTATGTGGCATGAGGTGGAGTGAAAATTGTGGACCTGTTCTATTCTCTAGTACTTGGCTACAAAACAGGTCAGGAGTCAGCGTTTGCAGTGGGAATGAACAAGTGTACCAATTTCCTAAGAACACATACCCAGCCTGAGAGTAAGCATTAACATTTTTAAAACACTAAATGTCGGGGTTATTGCTGCCTTGGCCATTTTCCTATCTCTGGGAAGCCCCCCCCCAATGTGCTCACGTGACCACTAGCTCCTTTTCTCAGCAAGCTGTTATCACACGCTAGAAACGCCAGAGGTGAAATGAGAAGTCTCTACTATTACTCCCTGTCCATGTCTTTTGCTTCAAACCATTCATAGTACGTAACAGACCCAAACATCCACAATGTTTACTTTCAGTCCCTAACACCAACAAGAGAGGGGGCATTCATAGGACATAATCAATTGAAGTGAGCGCGCTCCATCTTTCATCCGAGTATCTATTCCACAAACTTCCAAAGTGCGCTCCAGCCCAGCTCCTTCACTGTTATGCTACACTATTTGGATTTATCTTAGTTTACCAAGGATTTCCCACCATGGGTTTACACACTAATATTTCAAGTTACACTGAACCGCAGCAAAATCCACTCAGACCTAACCTTGGGTGTTCCATCTAATAGTAATAGTAGACATTGCAATAATATTTTGTAATGCTGAGGACTGAACCAGGACCTCCTGCATATTAAGCAAGCACTCCACCACTGAACTACATATAGCTCAACATAACTATTAATAATTTTCAACCAGCAGCATTACTTATACGAACTTGGGCTCTTAATCAAAATTAGCAATGACTGTTAATCGGGAAGAATAGAAGAAGTAAACTACCTGAAGGGAAAAAGACACAGAAGAGTTAATACAGTGTTACATTAACTTTGCCCAGACACTGGGAAACCCCAGTCTAATTCTTAACTAGTCACAAGCCTGGGGCAACTTCACAAGCTGCAAAGCCAAAGACTTCCACATCACAAGACACAGTTTAACAGTTTTATCAGTCTGTGCCCAGTGCAGCTCAGAGTACACCTAAAAGAAATGGCCCCATCCAACAGAGCCAAACAGAACAGTGTTTCATAGTTACTTCCTCCTCCCCACCCCCCGATTATGGACCACTTATAAATGATAATTATTGCCAGAATACACGATCTGAAGTGACCAAAAAAGAGAGAGAGAGAGGTATATAAAATCCAAGCATATTACAAAATCAGAGGGTAAAATTAGCATTTGACTAGAAGGCTATCTCCCTCTCCACCCTTACCCAAGTTTTGTTGTTGTTCTTGTTGTCTGAATTTAACCTAGAAAACACAGATGCGAATACTTGAAATACTTTTTGTTAAGGGTCTTGGGAATAAATCAATTAAAGCCCTGCACAGCTTAGGTCCAAAAACGTTAGTTTGTGGAAGTCACGGACAACAAACTCAAGGGGCCGCAGAAATAACCTGTGGCCAGATGACCAGGGCCCAACGCTTTTGCTTTTCTGTTCTGGAAGGGAAGTTGACAGATAAAGCAGAGCTGGCGATGGAAAAGGGCCCCAAGGCTGACAGGCAGCCCTTGTTCCCTGCTGCAAGCCCAGGAGTCCGTGGCGGGGCGTAGGAGCCCGGGAGGCGCTGACCCCGCGCCCATGGGGTGCCCGACTCTATGCGCACCCGCAAACAGACACCGCGGGCTGCACTCCTGGGGTGCCCCTCCCGGACCCTCTGGCTCTGCAGCCTCCTCTTACCCTAACCTCATCGGCTTCCTTCTTCTCCGCCAGCCGCTGTCAACCTGGGGCCCTCTGCCCTCCCTCGCTTCAGCTGATGGGCGGTGGTGCAAGCCTGCCCACTGCGCATGCTCGGGGTACAGCCCAGGGAAGAAGGAGGCGGGGTTTGCTTCTCTCCCATTGGCCAATAATAACTAAAGCTTGAAGGGACTGGTAAAATTGCTTGGGAGCCTGACACTGATGGTGAATGTCTACTTGCAAGAGAAGAGGAAGGGGCAGAGGAGAGCTGCCTTCTTCATTCGGTGGCGCCATCCTCCCTGAGTCAGGCCCCATCAGCTCCTGCCGTTCCTGTTTCCCAACCATTAACTCTGCAGTCGACTTTATCAACAACTATATTTTAAAGTCACTGGAAAAAAAAAAAAAAAAAAAAAAAAAAAAGTCAAGGCAATGCTAGCTGAATCCAAGAAGAATAAATGAAAAACAACCTCTGGGTGCTCACTTGGTAAAGGTCTTTTCTTAGTTCACGATCGTCCTCATAGCCTTGAAAGACCGGATGCAGTTTTCTCAGGCTTTAAGAGAACAGAATGTCCCAACAATGAGAAGCATCAGCAGTTCGGATGAAAGAAATCCTTTGCCAAATTAATTAGAATATAGATTGGCTTGACCTTTGCATATAATTAAGACGACGTTATTTTCTGAAAAGAGCATGCGATACCAAAGTGCAGAAGAATTTAAGTGTGTGTGTGTGTGTGTGTGTGTGTGTGTGTGCTGAAGGGAATTCAGAATATTGTGAACCAGAACCACATGGTTTTACACATGCAAGCAGACATATATGATTTAGATCAGACTAAAGCGCTTCCTCTTCCAAGTAGGATCCACACAGTGGAGTGAGTACACTGGTCAAAGGACGTACACCCATTTAAAGCAATGTGATTCGGCTAGAGGCACTGTGAACTTTCAAGTTGTGCTTTATTTTGCCCGGTACTAGAGATTGAACCAAGGACTTTGCACATGGAAAACAAGTGCTGTAACTGTGTCCTGTATCCTCAGCTTTTCCTTTTGAAACAGGATCTTTATAGGTTGCCCAAACTAACCTTGATCTCACTCTATAGCACAATCAGGCCTTGAACTTGCAATCCTGCCTTGTCCTTCTGAGGACCTGGAACTACAGGCCTGTGTCACTTGCCCAGGTTGTTTGAGGTTTTGTTTTGAGGTGTTAAGAGATCTACCACAGAGCCATACCGTAGACCCCACTGTGAACAGTTAGAAATATTAGCCCAATATAATGGCATTTTATGTTTTTCATGATACTGAGGAAATTCCAGTTTCTGTTTGAAGCCTCTCCTTTTTCCAAATTTTTATAATTTTAAAAATCATTCTTTGGCAAGGAAGCAACCTCTGCAATAAAAAGTCATGTTAACTGTTAAAGCCACAGAGTCCCTTTCAGACAACTTGGTTCCGTTTCCTCATTACACAGATTAAGGAACCTGGAACACAAAACAAATCCAAGTCACACAAATAATTCAGAATAGCACAGTCTTGAGTCTTACTCCTGGATCTCAGAGTCCTTCGTATCACCTGACTATCACACATTTCCTATCACAAATGACTTCTGGGAGTCTGCCCTGCACCAACTGCCAAGCCTTGCATAGCATATCAAAATGAGTAGAGTATGGATGGCATTTTCCTGTGGGGTAGTGATGACCTTCACATGACACCACAAGCTGCTCTGTGATGGAGATATGTACAGAGCACAGTGGCAACCCAAAGATGGGTGGCCTTACTGTAGAGTCAGTAATGGTTTTTGAAGTGGAAACAGGAGCAGGAGTTTTGAAAGTTATATAAAAGTTCTACCGGAAGACGTGATGGAACAGGGCATTCTGGCAAAAGAAGGCTTATGCAAATGTGTATAATGTGTGTAAATGTTTAGTTAATCTGGAGAAAGCGTGATTCATGAATTCAAAGGATGAGACACTAAAAACGCAAGTGTGGTTCTTAAAACAAAAGCTTCTGTCTCGTGTCAAGTGACTGGGGAGAGTTGAGCTACTACAAGATTTTAAGGGAAGATACAAAATGCTCTTAATTCCATGCCCCAAAGGAAATGCTGGGAGAAGTTAGGAAAATTAAAGGGGAATACAACAGAGGAGAAAGGCACTTAGGAGGTGTTTATAATAACTGCATGCCCCAGTAAAGAATTTCATTGGTGTTGGAGACATTGAAGGGCTGTACTAATGCAAAATTGATGGAGAAGGAGGTTAATGTGACAAATATTTAGTAAGGCTTGCACATCAACTGGCTATAGAGAATGAAAGAGAGTATTTGTGAAATGGAGCTCATATCTTAATGTGTTTTCTATACGCCCTTCTGAGTTATTTTTGCTAGAACCTTGGATGGGGTGTAGGGGAGAACATGGAGCCCTAAGGAAGTCCCTGGTGCTCAGAGACCTCTTTAGATTGCCCAGCTAGTCACTGGCTGGTTACAAATCAAACCTTGGGCTTGTTCCAAGTTATCATTTCAAAAAAAAATATTTTAATTAGATTCTTCCTGGTCATTTGAATTCAAACAGAAAAAAAAATGCAATATTCTGCTAAACTTAGAGGTCCAAAGAATAAATGGATTCTGAAGGAGTTTCTGATAATTGTGGTACTATGTTTTATTATTTAGCAGCTATTTAATGAGGTTCAGATAGATGTCCTAAACCAAGTGAGGCCCATTATGACTCAGCTGGTGATCAAATCAACAAGGCCTTACCAAGAACCCTTTCACCTCCCACAAAATAAATGCTTCTACAATTCTAGGAGTCTGTCCTTAGTTGTTCCACTTTGTTTACACTTGTTTCTATGAAGACAACACACCCAAGGCAAAAAAAAAAAAAAAAGAAAAAAGAAAAGAAAAAAGAAAGCGTTTAATTGGGGACTAGCTTACAGTTTCAGAGTGAGTTCATAACCATCATGGCAGGGAACATGGCAGAAAATAGGCAGGCATTGCAGAAGCAGCTGAGATCTTACATCTGATACATAAGAACAAGGCAGAGAGAGAATTAAACAGAACAGAGTGGACTTTTGAAACCTCAAAGCCCACCTCTAGTAATTCAGATCCTCCTACAAGGCCACATCTCCTAATCCTTTCCAAACAGTTCCATCAGCTAGGGACTTAGCATTCAAACTTCAAACAGAAGAGCCTATGGGGGTCATTCTCATTCAAACTGCCACAGAGTAGGTAACCTATAATTAATTAAAAAAATGCAATTTGGGTTTTTCAGAAGTAACTATTTGGGGAATTGTTTTGTTTTTAAGAATTTGAGAGGCAACCAGAGCAAGCCATTGCATCGGTGTCTGCATCCTTCTTTCCCTGTGCAAATCTCTCCTGTTTAAGCTTCCTTTGCAGGATAGGCAGCCACTCACTCCTCTTTTCAACTGCCTCTGAATACCATTCTTGGGGGTGGAAATAAATAAATAATAATTCCCTTTTATTCACTAACCACTAAATTAAAGAAAATAAGTTCTTAAATGATTATTGCGTAATTTGTAGAAAATCTAGAGAAATAGAAGATACAAAAAGATAACTATACACAGCAAGTCAAAGAATATGTTGGTGAGACATAGAGTTTGACGTAAGAAAGCTTGTGATGTATAATATAATGTGAAAACCAGGGGTGTTTTCTGAAGTCTGTGCTGGAGAAAAAGTTCATAATAGTTAGCAGATGAGAGTTAGCTTTGGATACCATAATTTAAAGTACCTCACAGCCTTCTGGGGGTCATCTTGTTTTCTATATCATACAAGTGCCTTGACAAGTGCTAGCCCAGGTTTTGCTCTGATGTTGAAACACTTGGATTATAACTGGACATCCAAATAGACACTTAAGTCAGAATAATCTTTATACTTATGTCAGTATAAGTTTGTTACTATCACAAAATATGAGAGTGGGTGACTTATAAAGAGCAGAAGTCCATTCAAGCTTATGATTCTGGAGGCCACTGAGCCTAAGGCCATGATGCTTTTCTTCCCTTCTGCTAAGGGTCATGAACTGTATCATTAGTCTGCACATTCACACATCAGAGGCCCTGAGAAGTGAGTCAGTAAAGAAATGAGCATAACTTCATTTGTTCTAACATTTCGTAGTTAATATGCAACATATGACATTTTGAAGATGAAAGCTCATGTAAGATGGCAATCTTCATACAAAGCTATTAATGTCCTCATGATCTTTTCTAATCCCAGTTATCTCCCAAAGTCTTCTTTAAGCAGCATTTACATAGTGTCTTAATTACTTTTCCCATATATAGTGTCTTAATTACTTTTCCTGTGGCTGTGTAAAGTCCGTGGCAAAGCTAAGTGACGGAGGAAGGAAGGGTTTATTTTGGCCAGCACTCTGGAGTTACAGCCCACCATGACAAAGAAGTCACAGCAGCAGGAGCATGAAGCAGCTGGCCACACTACATCTACAATCAAGTGGCAGAGAGTGACAAATGCCTGCGTTCAGCTCACCTTCTCCTCTCCAGTCCAGGATTTAAGCTCAGGAAATGGTGCCACCACCGTGGATGGATCTTTCAGCCTCAGTGAATCAAATCAAGATTCTAAGGCCTGTTGCAAGGTGATTCTAAATTTCACTAGTTGAGATTGTCCAAGACTTGGATGGACTGGGGACTCCATTTTTTAACACATAAACCTTAGAAGACACATAAAACCATAGCCTATTGTTTGCATCGGTGTGTTTCAAACACCATTCCCATGAGCCGTCTTCTGCTTGTCCGTCATTGTGCATTCACTGTCTACTACAGCAGCAACGAAAGTGGCAAACCCAGTTCCACCCCACCTTAGTATCACCCTGGCAACCACTCATTTCCTGGAAGCCAGAACTGGAAAACAGCACGCCATGCTTGCAGTTAGCCCCTAGGTGGACTGCTCCAAGATGGAAGGACTTAGCTGTGAGAAGGCGGAATTTCGAGCATGGGTGAAGGAAGCTGGGAATTAGTCTACAGAGAAATGCTTGAGGAACATATGATATTTTGAAGATTGCATGTTCATAAATCAGAGGCCATGAGAAGTGGCTCAATAAAGAAACAGGCATGACTTTATTTGATCC